TTGACCTCTCACCTGAAATAAAAATGTATGGAAACCTCAAAATGTAAATAAACCCTTAGCAAGCAGAATTTCTTGTAGGACTGAAGATTTGGTCGCTACAGAGGGAAGGGTGGAAACAGTTAACTCTAAGACTTAGGAGAAGATGGAAGCCTAATACTTCAAATATTTACACTTACAAAAACTTTCTTAGCTCTTTAATATAAAGGGGAAGGAGGAGGCTTGGAGGTTATGGCTATCTCCTCCACGAGGTGCTGGCACCCAGGAGAACCTGAGGGCTGTATTCATAAACCCTTTTCCTCTTAAGGCAAGAGCTGTTAAATTGAACAGTGATTAACGCCCCTTTCTATCATTAAACCTCCACCAAGCCTTATGAGCAGTACCTGTTAAAAAAGATAGACCTTGGGTGATGGTGGTAGGTTAGGAAACAAAATTTCTTTTAGATTTGAAAACAAAAACATACTGAAACAATTGTCCCCAGTGTTGAAATATCCCCTTTTCTCTGATGGTGCTCCTTCTTAAAAACCTCACTGGGATGAGATCTGAGCAACACTTTAGTTAACTGAGTTTCTGCGATGTGCCAGGTGGAGACACAGATATGTAACTACTACTCCCTGGAAGCTCAGGAACCAGGTGATACATCAGGGATGAACAGATTATGTCAACATCCTGCCGTTTTGGGTAGTGGGGAGTGGGGGGACCTTCCATGGTTTCCTTCAGGAGTCCCCTCATAGTACCTATTAGGAAACAATGACTAGAGACACTTCTCAGGCATGAATTCTCAATGAAAGCGTTCAATGTAACCATGAAAGCCTCCACTGTTGAATGTTTAAGGACACCTGTTTTTATGTCCTCTCTATCCCTCCCTTCTCATATTAGTAACAGCAACTGAGATTCCTTCTGAAAACTCTTATTTCCAATGCCTTGATGGGGCAGTAAACACTCTACCCATAGACCACTCCATGCTGGCGTAAGGACTTAGCATGTTACCCATTCTCCAAGGAATGGAATCGCTTACCCAAAGATAAACATAGTTAAAGCTGATTTCACTCTGATGGCAAACACCTGAAAGCCATCCACTAACCCCTTCTAGGCGTTTTCACAGAAATGCTTGATTCTATTGCTTCTGAAGCCTGGTATGCTGAGAGCTTCCCCCACCCCATACACACACTTTCATAACCTGCCATTAACTTCCCATATTCTTGATTAGTTAGATTTGAGTTTCTGTTACTCCTAACCATGCAAGTTCACGCCAGGTACACGAAGCTTCCCATAACAGCCTTCTCAAAAGACAGATACTGCGTTTCTACTCTGCAGATAAACATACTGATGCTGGGATATGCAAACAATCCATGTGGGAGCCTGTATTTGAACCAGAATCAGAATCCAAAGCCCAGGGCTTTTCCTGTTCATATCTCCATGTCACCAATCTAATGTCTTGCCATTTAAAGACAAGCTTCATCCTCTAGATCTCATTTTTAAGATAATTTACAGTTTACAAAACGTTTTCACACACAATAACACATGTAAGCCTCATAGACACCCAGGAGGTAGATATTTTCATGACACTGGAAAGTAACTGACCCTAAATCTGGTCAGCCTCACTCCCGCCCCCACCCACCGCTGCCCTTAAAACCTTTCCGTGACTCTCCACAGCCTGTAAAATAAGTCCAAAGCCTCAGCAAGGTGTTCAAGGTACTTTGAGATTCTGGACCCAGGCCTCAGGTCTACAATTCCTCTATTGTACATTGAGCTTCAGGCTTATAGACCTTACAGTTCCCCAAACAGGCAGGCCATTCTATGCTTCTGCTCAAAAGTTACCACCCCACCCCTCACCCCGTAATTACATGTTATTTTTCCTTTCTCTTCCCAAGTCATGACTACTGAAACAGCTGCTTGTCCTCCATATGGAATACCTTTTGCCCCCATCTCATCCCTGGTGAACCCCTGCTTACCTTTTGTGGTGCCAGCAAACACAAGGCAGGGCAGGTTCTCTGCTGATTCAGGAAGATGGGTAAAGGAGTCTCCTGGAGCCCTCAGTGCCTTTTTCAGGCTTTAATGCTCTTTCTATGCCAATTGTTGTGGGGCAAGCCCCACAGACTGGCCAGGCAGGGAAGCCGAGGGACTGGGAGGCTGGTAGGCCCAGAGGCTCCCAGTGAATCTTTACTCGTTCCGTTTGAGCTCTCTCTGGCGTTCTCCCGTGGTCTCTTCCTCTGCTAGCTGTTCTGCATAGCCGTTCTCTGAGTGACGCCACGCTTATGTTCTCAGGCTCAGGTGTGCCCACACCACACTCCAGGTGTTCACAATCAGGCTCCTGCCTCGCACCCACGCTCCCAAGCACCTCCTGCATTCAAGGCTGCAGATGATAGCCACAGAGGCTAGAGGCACATAAGCCTGGCCAATTCACTTATTCTACACCTTTCTAGACTCAAACCAAGTTCACTGTCCTCTGAAAAGCCTCTTCTGTTCCTTCTGCCGCCAAATAGAACCAACATTCCTGCTGTTCTCTGGGTAGTAACTGGGGATAGCTCACGCATTTTCTGACATTGTAGTGGACATTAAGGTTAACCCCTCACTATCCTTCCACCCCAGTAGTCACTACAATGCAATCCTACAATCCTACCCCTTAATAGTGACTGGCCTGCAGTGGCCATAGGATTAGTAACAAACTTGCTCTTGGGGGTCTGGGGGTTGGGGGTGGCTCTGGTTGTTCTCCAGTTGCCCCCAGGCTGCTAGAACTTCCACATTAAGGCCCCTTAGATTCATCTTTGTTCTGTTCCTGTCACACCCTCACCACAGACCCTCTAGCTTTGGAACTTCTCTGTCCTCGTTCCATTTTCAACACAGGCAACAACTGCTTACTACTTAGCAGCTATTACCACTTACTAGCTGATTACTACTTAGCAGCCATCAGCCCACAGTAGACCATAAATTACTTTATAGGCTTACCCTGCTAGGCTTCCTGCTCAAGGTTGTTTGTATACTTATAAGAAATTTCCAGAGGCATTATTAGCCTTTCTCAAGCTTCATTAATTTGCCACTAGATGATGATTTTGTATTTTTGAACTTACTCATTTCTCACAGCAATTTGGTAATTATTTATTCCCATTTTGTAGAGGAGGCTGATGAAAATCAGAGAAGTTAAGTCACTTGCCCAAAGTCATAAAGGTAATACTGGGAACTGGGATTCAAGGCCATTCTGTCTGGATCCAGGACCCCATGGGATTTAGGGAGGGATTACTGACTGCAGCCTGCCTCAATAATTGCAGAGATATCCACCTGCCTCCTCTGCTTCTGAAAAGCCCTTTTTTGTTAGTTTTGCTTCTCCTCCAAGAGGGCAGCAGCATAGAACCTCATTTAGAGTAATGCCTCTCATAGTATTCTAGTATTTTCTACATGACAGTAAGAGTCCACAGTCTTATGGGGATCAAAGAAGAAGGTTGTAAGTCCTTAGGAAGAGGAGTAACGAGGATTCTGGCACTTGAGCATTATGAGCCAGAGGTTTTGAAGAGACCTAAGAGGCCTCTCTGCAACAAGTCCCCACCCCTTCATCAGGGGAGCCTGTGGTGCAAGGGGAGCAAGGCCCACCAGGTGGCAGCAGAGAACGAGGCAGTGGCGGGCAAGGTGTCACCTGGTACAAGCTCTCTGTCACTGGAGCAGGGAAAGTGACGGCGCCTTGTTCAAACTCTAACGCAGGTCTGAGGTGGGTGGAAGCGGTTATGGGTGGGGCAACTTCATAATAACAGTTCACACTATTGTTAAATTTATTCTGTGCTGGATACTGTGCAAAGCACATGGTAAACATTATCTCTTTAACGCTTACAACTAACCTAGGAAATAAATACTAATGCTAGCTCTAATTTTTAGATTCACAATGAGGATCCAAGAGGTTCATGATTTGTCCAAGTTTATACAGATTGAAGAAATTGCAATGCAGGTAGTTTGGGTTAGAAGAGCCACTGCTGTTAGTGTTACACAACCAGAGAAGAAAGGATGTCCCTAGGAAGTGGGGGTGAGAGAAGGTAGGGCCTGGTATGGGCTGGCTATAGCCAGAAGACTGAGGCCAATCAACGGACAGTGACTAAGGGGACTTAGTCAAAGGGGACCTTTTTTTTGGGGGGGGGTGTCCAGGGAACAGGATGTGGTAGGATTTTCAGTTAAGGTCCCTGTGAACTTTAACTTGAAGAACCCATCCCTGGAAACTCAGAAGCTACAAATCAAAGACCTACGAACTTGTAAAATCTGATAAGGAACTCCCTCAGTGAGCTCCTAGAAACAAATGAGTTGGAGAATATGTCCCCAGGCAGGTCACTGTGTCACCAGCATGCTGGTCTGGCCTGTAGCCCTCTATAGGGGAGGGGTGATGTTTGGGGTCTTCACCCTGGAAAGATGTCTGGGAGTTCTCAAGGTCCCTGAATTAGCCACTTCACCAGGTTATTTGAATAAGGCCTGGGAGGTTCCCTTTACCCTGAGATTCAAGTCAGTACCTCCCTTCTCTCTGGTCTTGCTGTCAATCATCCAAGGGCCCAGGTGAATTATAGAATCTAGCTTAGTACAGACCTCATCCTCCTGTCTCAGTTGCATCCTTTCTATAGCAACACTCAACACAAGGCCTTTCTGAAATTTACCAGTCTTAACTACAAAGTTCAGTTTGAAGGTGCTTTCCTCAAATCTGTCAACAGCAGGGGCTTGGATCCTTCCTGATTTTTGCATAAACTCTTCTGAATCAGTCTCAGTTCTGGGAACCTAGACTAAATCGTATTCTACAGAAATTCTGCTCTGGGGTCCTTTGCACTGTTCTCTCTGTCTGAAACTTGTGCTGTTCTCTGTCTGAAATGCATCCCCTCCATCTTCATATGGCTGACTCCTTCTTCTCATTTAGATCTCATTAAAATAAATAACTTCCATACAATGAAACCCAGGGATTAGGGAAAACAGAGTCATGCCTTTTTGAAGTGAGGAATAAAGTTGGTTTCTTTCATGCCCATTAAGCAATCACAGATGACCCTATCACAATCCAACACTCGTGACTAACATGGGATTCAAGAGCAGGAAAAAAAGAAGATTAAGAGGCAGAGAAGCAATCTTCACCAACAGCACCAGCCTGCAGAAGAAGGACTATCCCATTCAGGCAGGTAAGAATATAGCCTCTCACCCATAGTTGTAGTTCCAGTCTTCAAAATGAGGTCTTGGAGATTCTGCTGCATTTTTTCACCCTCCCTTGGCGCCTCCCTGATGCGTGACTGTTAGCAGAATTTCTCTTCAATGTTAGTAATTCTCTAACTTCTGAGGGTTGACAAAGTGTCCTCCAAGACTCTCTATCTAGACTGACAAAGAAGCAAAGCAGAAAAGAGTAATAATCAGGCTGGGAAAACGCTTATGAGCAATAGTGTCTTCAGTTCTCTTGGTTTGGGTGGACTGATCAGCATTTGCTGTCCCTCTGTGGTTTTCCAAGGCTCTACGCTAGAAGTCTAGATTTACAAAAACAATTTAATGCAGACTTAGTTGTTCTGTATCTGCAATTTTGAACACTACATTATTCACCTAAGAAGATCAACAGTACATTATTCACCTAAATGGGTTCAAGTGCAATTTCTTTTCACAACTGGGAAGAGCAAATTACACATGAAATGTCACGGTGGAAAGGATTCATGCTATGAAGTCCCTGTTTTGCTCCTAGCTGTTTCAAATGGTGTTCATTAATACAACTCTATGGGGATAAGACCTTTCTTATTGTAAGAACAGTAAGAGGAAAGAAGAGAAATGCAGAATAGCAAGAAGAGAAGCTTCCTCTGCTGGTTTTTAATGAGCACACTTTCATCATGACCACTGCAGTTCATGAGCTTTTTGGTATTTATCCTAGTCATGAGATTTGAATGAGGGAGAAGTAGAAATTGACTTTTATGGAAGGGAAAACAAATCATTAGTGAAAGTCAGGTCAGTTTATTTCTTCAGCTTATTTGGAGTGTGGTGAGCATGGACAAACCCAGGAACCTGAATGGGGTGGTTTCCTTTGCAGGTTTGGAGGCTGCTGTGTTTGGCCACAAACACACATTAGTCATCACAGCCTTCTATTTATCTAAGGATTGATATCAAATAGCACTGTAGAGAAAAATAACTCCCTTTATTATTTATAGTCTTGGGCCAAGGAAGATAAGGAATGAATAAAAATGCTTTTTGTTTGTTTTTCTATAACGTTATGGCATGGAGTCAGATTGAAGGCAAATGAAGAGCATTTCCCCCCAATAACAACTTAATTTGCAAGTGTTTTTGCTTTTGTTTGTAGATTTTTTTTTTGAGCTTAATTTTCAGTTAGTAAAAGGGGTGGGAAACCTAAGCCAGTTCCAAAGTCCTTGATATCAGTGAAAGAAGCAGGTATAAATCCTGTCACAGAGAGAAACCAGAGGGTCAGCTGTGGCTACTCATACCAAGGGAGTATATGTTTGTGAGGCTTCATGATGGGTAAGAATTGATGGGTAAGAATGCTCTGGATGTCTTAAATGATACTCTTGTGCCCTGCTCTTAGGTGTCCTGTGGCCTGACCCTACAAAATGCCAAGAGACAAGGCTCACTTCACCTATGGTTATACCATGAAGGGGCATGGCCATTCCTACATCACAGCTGAAGAGTAAGTTCAAAACCAGACCCAGGGGGGCTTCCAATTTCCCATTTGCTGACACAGCCTACTGACTTCCACCAGTATATACCTGGTCCACAGATTACTCTAGTGTTCACGTGTAAAAACCAGAGAGTAAACACCATGGCACCAAGGTGAGGAGTCCCTTTGGTCCTATGAGCGGCTCTTGCAAACTTTTCTAAGGCCAACCAGGCAAGGAGATGAGAATGGTAAAAAGTCACTTACATCTTGCCATTTTTTTTGTCTGCGTTCTTGGCTATTAGGACTTCTACTATAGGTTATCAAATGGAAAAATACCTGTCTGAGAGAAAAATGACTTTCCTCAGGTTTTGTTCTGTTAGCTCTAATCATGCTCCTGGAGGTGATTTGCAAACAGAACAAAGGCAAGTTGCCAAAGAGAATGAAGGGCAGGTGCCAGTCTACTTGTAGACTGACTCCTGGAGGAGATGATAGTTGCAATTTTTGCACCGTTACTTTATCCTAAGGAGAGATATTTGGTACTATGAATGAATTAAAAATAAGTATTTACATAATTATTTCAAAATGCCACTGGATCAAATGCTATTGTCAATTCTGAGCAATCTTACAGTGTAGTGGGAGAATTAGGTAGAGTATAATTTCAGCAAATGTAAGTGCTGTGATGGGAACATAGGCTTCAGGGACACACTCTGCATATGTTGGAATGGGGAAGGGTGTGGCAGTGGAAGGGGGGGCCACCCTCTGATTGGGGACTGCAACCAGACAAAGAACCAGGTTTTAATATGTACCCGTTCTAAAGTGGTCTGCCAGAAGATTCTCAGTGTAACATGTAAATGGCTTTCCAGAGTTAAGTTAGTGACTGCAATATTTATCTTAGTATTTCCAACAGAACTCTAACAGCTTCTTAATATTACATGAAAATGACTTTCCACACATAGTTATTTGAAAGAATGCAAAGTTTACATTAGTTTTACCAGTAGAACCCTAACAGAATATTATTCATATTTCATGAAATCAGCTTTCGTCACAGTTATTTGAAAGACACATCTAACTTCCTGAAAACCTGCTCTATCTTTGGAAGTAACTGTAGAAAAATCTTTACTAGAATAAAGTCACAGGAGTAAGGAAGATATGGAACCCATTAAAAGCACCAAGAAAGAATTCAGGCTGGGAGTGTGTCCCCAGAAGACATGAATGGAATTCTCTAACATCCCTGCATGGTCAACTGGGAATAGATGGGAGATATCTGACAAAACATCCTAGACCAAACCTATACTCTTTGGGATGGTACTTTGCTAGATACTAAGAAGGATATTGTTTCAACTTCTGTAATATGACTCGTCAGACACTATCTCTATTTCTCTACTGAGAGAGAGGTCCTCACAAAGGACATAAGTCACCCATGTAGCTTTGACAATGCAGTTTCCCAGGTACTGTGACGTGAGAGGAAGATTCAATAGGTCTGGGTTGGGGGAGCAGGATCTATACTTTAACATGCATGTCAGGAGGTTATTTGGTGACATGCTGAGGAACCCAATCCAGCTGGGTAGTGGGTTCTTTTGGTTGTCTGGCATTTTTGGCCTTGAGTCAGTCATTCGGTGTGTGTGAGTGCAACGTGACTGTGGGTAAAGAGATGGAACAGAGCTCTGCTTGTGTGAAGATGTCCAAGGGGATGACCACAGATCTGGTGGGTAAAATTAGAATGCAAGCATGCCCGGAATTGAATCAGCTGCTTTTAGTCATGGGAGTTCACTGAATGCTACTTGTGCCATTTTCCTTTCAGGAAAAGGTGATATGGCTGGAAAGGCAATGGCCCTGGGAGATGGGAGGTCTGGGTGTGACCCAAATCTAGCAACAGTTGCGAATGCTGGTTTTGCTGCTTACTAGATGTACAATCCCGGGTATTTTACCATTGTAAAGTCTTGGGAATGTCAGCTATTAGATGGGCATCAAAAAACTATGTAAGAGGTCCTCCTTGGTGGCACAGGGGTTAAGTCTCAGTGTTATCACCCTATTGCCATTATGGCCTGAGTCTGATCCCTGGCCAGGGAGCTAACCCTTCTGTCTTGCACACTGCTCCCCTCAGCAGTGTATTTCAGCAGATCCACCTGTTCTGCTCCCCACTCTGTCTGTGACAAATCCTCTCACTGACCCCCACCCCAACTCTGGCCTATGCCCAGTTCTTGTATGCATAAATGCATAAAAATAAATCTTAAAAAATGATATAAGAAAATAAATTTAAAAAATAAATTAAATAAAATGGACATTATACATACCCCAGAAGACAGTTGTAAAGATGAAATAAAAGCCTATATTTGGGGCACAAATAGATGCTCAGCAAATGGCAGAGTAGCCACTAGGCTAATGGTAATGTTGATGAGTCTCAGCTTCATGATCTATGAAGGGAGAGGATTGATCTGCATAATGAGGACAGAGATTCCATTCTGTGCTGTCATTCTGTAGTTCTCGCTCATCTTATTTGGATAAGGACAGGTTAGGCTTGATGTCTCGGCAGCCTTGAGATAGAGGTGGTCCAGAAGTGATTTTGGATAAAGGTCTCTCTAGGAGAAGGCTCAGTTAGACCTTACTTCACCTGCAGTTGCTCGATGTCCATACAAATCACTCAGCTGCACAAAGCCTTCTTTAGCAAGTCACACATAAAAGATTCATCACTCTCCACTCTGGTCAGGCTGTGGTATGAAAAATCAAGCAGATGTTAATTGATAACTTATTCATGGAAAGCACAACCCCAGGCCCATTTCCAGGGAATTTGTGGTAATTGAAGATGTCTTCCTATGGGACATTGGACACAAGGCTTAAGAGGCTGGCTTAGATGCCCAGATTGAATCCTGAAGCTGAGAAACACATCCTTCTTAGTAAATGATGTCACAACTTTGCTCTAGCTTTAGTTCAGACGCTTCTTCCCAGGACTGAGTCTCCATGTTATTTTTTAGTCATCCATGTCTGACCAGTCAGGAGGTACTTATTTCATTTAGTAATTCATACACGGTCAGCTGGGAAGTGCTTACTAAGTATTACAGAGTGCCTTTTCATTTAGTGAGCCATGCCTGGTCAACAGGGAAGTGCTTATTAAATTTCTACAGTGCCTTAGTCCAAATGCCAGCTGGCCTCGTTGATTTGGATGCCAGGCTGGAGAGTGTAGGCTTCTTATCTCAGCATCCCCAGGGCTCTATTCAATTCCATTCTGAGATGCCACAGGATACTCAGGTGAGAACCAGAGCAACCAGCAAGCACCTACCCATCTGGTCCAGTCCTTGGTGACCCTGCACTGTGTTCCTGGAGTAAACAGAGACAACACAGGAGTCTACTAAGCTAAGCATAAACATGGGACCCATGTCCCACCAGCTGGACTGGGCTATGGCATCCCTGTGCAACTGTGATTGTCCCAGGGACCTCTGAATCCCAGGAGTCCTACTGTCACCCTGTCAATCAGAATGTTCTGTCTGTTCCATGTTCTCCCTTCTCTTCATTACCTTCTTCCTATGTGCAACTAAAACCTACTCTGTGGAAAGTTGCCAATCCCCTCATTCTCACTAATTTCAATGATCCACCAGAGGTTAAAGTAAGAGAATTAAGCTATGAGCCTCAAGGAATGAATTTTTAATGATGGTATTTCAGGTCTTCAGTTTCAATTACAAATGCAAAAAAAAAAAAGTGATTTGGGGGACTAACCTTATGGTGAAAATCCACATACTTGTAAATAATTAAAGAAGATAGGAATGGTGTATTCATTTGCAAAGACTGGTATTATGGGGGAGAGTCAGGGCAGGATTAGAGAGAGAAGATAGGCACAGAGTGAAGGGAGGAGTTAGGGGCACAGAGTGCACAACTCAAGTCCATATCCTAGCTCTTTCTTGTGCTCCTTCTATATGAGCATCAGCAAGGCACTCAACCTCTGCATGACTTTCCTCGTCTGTGAATGGGCATGATAAATGGTGCCTACCTTAAAAGGGGTTTTGTGAGAATTAAATAAATTAACATATGGAGAATGTTTAGTATAGCACTCAGCTTATAGTAGATAATTTTTTTAAAAAGATTTATTTATTTATACATACAAGAACTGGGGTACAGGCCAGAGGTTGGGGGGGCAGTGAGAGGATTCACCAGAGACACAGTGGGGAGCAGGCAGATTCACTGAAATACACTGCTAAGGGGAACAGCAGGCGAGACAGGAGAGGACTGCTGCACCATGTGGGTCAGCTCCCTGGCTGGCCGGGATTGAACTTGTGCTGCAGAGGCTGCAGATAGCTTCACAGTGCTGTGCTTAACCCCTTGCCCCACCAGAGAGGCCTTAAATAGATGATGTTAGTGCTAATTTCCATTTCAATTTTGTGGTCTAAAAGTTGGGGGAAAGCTTTAAACTAGCCCTGATGAAAAGATAATTCTGCCCCAATATAGATATTATCCACATAAGGATCAGTTGCTACTGTACCGTGTGCTTCTGGAACTTTGGTGCTTCAGTAAGGCCGTTGGCACACATCAGAGAGGCTCCCAGAGAAGGTCCTGTCCCTAGATATGGGCACTGGAAGCCTGCTGGTGCCTAGAATGGTGCTGGATGGGAAATGATTAGAGTTCTGAAAGTGCTACTCTGGACTGACAAAGCCCAGAAGAGAGAAGACTGCTGTATATTTCATGATAATCTGGAGCAAGTTCCTGTACCAAGATGAATTTGTCTGTCTTTTGGGTCAGAGCTGCAGGGATTGGCATCCTGGCAGTGATCCTGGGAATTTTACTGCTCATTGGCTGGTGGTATTGTCAGAGACGAAGTGGATACCTAACCTTGAAGGTTGGTATAGTTCCTAGTGCTGGGACCCCTGTAGATTCAAGACTCTCTTTCCCCCTTCTTTCTCTGAATTTCTAGGTAGGAGGAGAACATCCTTACAATCACTTTCAGCTCTGATCCTGCTTCTGATGAGTCTTTCAATATGCTTTTGCAGCAATCCCTTTGTTTCTGGCCAGACACAAATGCCAACTAGGAAAGTGGCCTGTTGGGTTCCACTCACAGTAAACTTGATTACATGGCTATTGTGTATAGCTGAGCACTAATAGTTTGTGCATGCAGGGCTGTGTTTTGTGCTCCTTTTGCAAAGCAAACACAAGCATATGAGCTACTCTCAAGGTCTTGGAATCTTTCTGGGGAGTCTCACTAATTCTATTACTCCAAGAAGCAGCGCTCACCTTGCCTCTTCACCCCTTTCCTCCCAGGTTGCCTGGAATCCCAAGTTCTTCTGACTCTGTTACACCAGACAATCCAGCAGATTCACGACCCATCCTGCCATCAGTGTAATGAGATAGAATCATGTTTAAATTCCCTGGCTCTGGTCCTCCCTGGTGGTGCAAGGCATTAAGTCTCAGCACTATCAAGCTATCAGCAGCCACTGTGGCCTGAGTTCGATCCCTGACCAGGGAGATACACACATGGCACAGCAGACCTCTCCTGTCTCACCTGCTGCTCCCCTCAATAGTGTATTTCAGTAGATCTACCTGTTCTGCTCTCCACTCTGTCTCTGGTGAATCTACTCACCTCCCACACCTCTGGCCTATACCCCAGCTCTTGTATGTGTAAACAAATAAAATAAACCTTAAAAAAAATAAATTCCCTGACTCCCTTAGAGTCTAAAAATGCCTTCATTTATTTTTAAAATTAATATTAAAATCTTATTTTTAAACTCTCATATCTCCTGAAAAACCTGGTTGAGAATCAGCAGTCTAATATATTTAGACAAAATCATGTAAAATCGTGCATTAAGTACTGCATTTAATTTCATAATTACCTCCCTGTCTCCTTGATGATTGTATTTTAATTTTTAAGATTTATTTTTATTTATTTATGCATGCAAGAACTGGGTATAGGCCAGAGTTGAGGAAGGTGGGGTGTGTGTAAGAGGATTCACCAGAGACAGAGTAGGGAGCAGAACAGGTGGGATCGACTGAAATACACTGCTGAGGAGAGTAATGGGTGAGATAAGAGGTCTGCTGTACCATGTGGGTAGGCTCCCTGGCTGGGATGGAACTCCTGCTGTAGTGGCTGCTAATAGTGCTGAGACTTTAACCCCTGCGCCACCAAGGAGGCCCTGATTGTATTTTCATTTTAAAGCAAAAACAAAACCAAACCCCTAAAGGGTTTCCAGTTTCTAACAACCTTAATTAAACTTTAAAATGTCTACTTTCCCACTTTAAATGACTAGAGAATGGTAGCAAGGTTGGTTGGAAACATGATCTCCTAAAATTTTTCCTTGGGTTAACAGTTATCCTTAGCCCTGAAAATAATATGTTTTGAAAGGAAGGATGTCAGGGATGAAATATTACGTTTTGGTATATGTCTGTCTTATGCCAACTGTGTGGTCCTTCGTCATGGAGGACATCACCTCTTAAACCTATGCAAAGTAGCAAACCTCCCATTAATTTAGTCTTAGAAAATTTTGCCATTGTCATTACAACAGGGCTTGGAAGCTCATAGCTAAAACCAGTGCATTTTATCACAATATGTACATTTACAATGTTGAAGATATTTTGCTGTCATTTATGGAAAAGGCAGTAGAGCCAGCATATCCTGCTGCCAAGTGACTCATATGCTTGTCCTTGCTGTGATAGTAGCTCCTGCCTCACTAGCTCTGACCTACTCCACTTGCAATCATTCTCTGAGCTCTACTTTTTAGATTCACTCTTTTTCTCCTTCCCTTTGAAAACATTTGCTGACTAATGAGTGTCAGGCACTGTGCTAGGTTCTTTACCTTTAGTTAATTCCCAGAACAAATCTGAAAGGCAGGTGTTGTCTTCATATTGTAGATGCAGAAACTGGAAGTGGCAGAACTATGATGAAAACCCTTCCTAAAATTTCAGCTTCCTTGTCTTTTTCTCAATTGGATTCAATTATTTCTTCACAATCACTGAATCATCATGAATTCACATTTCAGGATAAAAGCGTTCATGATGTTACTCGAAGTATCTTAACAGGAAGATGTCCATGTGAGGGCGCTGGTCACCAGGACAGCAAACTGCCATTTCAAGAGATCAACTGTGAACCTATGGTAGGTTGAGTGTTTTCATGTATGACTGCTTTGAACTAAATGAATAAAATTATTGCCATTTAAAAAGCAAGGAAAATGCTAATGTACTTAATGCTACTTAGCTGTACACCTAAAAATGGTTAAAATGGTAAATTTTGTTATGCATATTTTACCATAATTTAAAAAAAATTAAAAAACAAGGAAAGCACAGAGAATTTCTTAAACTGTATCCTCTCATAACCAGATTTTCCAGGGCCAATAATAAGAGAACTACATGTAAGATCTAAAGGGAAAAAATGGTTCTGGATAGATTTTTCTTTTCTAAAATTTTTTAAAAGATTTTTTTTTTTTTTTTTTGGCGAGACCCTCGCCAGTGGCCGGGGAACGAACCGGTGCTGCCGAGGCTGAAGGCAGCCTCGCAGCCCAGTGCTCAACCGCCGCACCACCAGGGGAGGCCCAATTTTTTAAAAGATTTTAAAAAAATCTATTTATGCACCGAACAATGGGGTGTAGGCTAGAGGTTCACAGGGTGAGAGGATTCACCAGAGACAGAGTGGGGAGCAGAATAGGCAGATTGACTGACATACACTGCTGAGGGGAGCAATGGGCGAGACAGGAGAGGTCAGCTGTGCCATGTGGGTCAGCTCTCTGGCTGGGGATTGAACTCATGCCACAGTAGCTGGTGATAGCTTGATATCACTGAGACTTCAACCCTGCACCACCAGGGAAACCCCAAGAATATAGACTTTTCTAAGGGAGGAAAAAAATATCTATTTCATAGAATTGTGCCATTCACATGTAGCTATTGAGCCCTTGAAGCATAGATGTTTAAATTAAGATGTGCTATAATACATACCAGATTTCAAATGCTAAGTCTGAGATAAAGATGATAAATACTTCATTAATAATTTTGTATTGATTACATGTGAAAATAATATTTTGATAAATGGAGTTAAGTATAATATTAATTTTACCTGTTTCTTTTTTTTAATGCAGCTGCTAGATATTTTTATTTTTCACCTTTAAAAAAATATATATATATATTTACAGGAACAATTTCCCATTCTCTGGAATTCTTAGAAAAAAATTAATTTTGGGGTAAAGTAAAACAAATAATGCAGGCAGAAATAGCACAGTTCCCCAAATCACCAACCCCTTGGTCTCCAGGCCCAGACTGGGCCAGTAACCACAGGAAGTGAGCCCGAGTCCTTTGAACCCACCCACTCCAGCCTGGAATTCTGACAGGACAGGCTTTTTGTCTCACTTTCCTCCCTCCCAAATCTCGGGAGACTTACAGTGTTGACAGGACCCTTAAAGGGTCCTTTGTACCCACCTGCAGGAAATTGGGGGGCTGATGTTTTTAAAACTGGAGAGTGCTGGTATAGACCCAGAATATTACAAGTGTTGAGAACACTGACTCCATAGCAAAATTACTGTATTTGATTCTTAGCTCCACAACTTACTAATTGTGTGGCCTTGGGCAAGTGACTTCTTTGTGCCTCAGTTTCCTGACCTGTAACATGAAAACAATGAAAATACTCTTAGAACTGTTGTGAACATTAAATGAAGAGCACATTTGTGTTCTGTTGATAGTGATGATGGTCCTTAGATAACAACTGCAAGAATCTTTGTGTGAAAGGTGCAATGTACACTAGTGTCTGTAAACAAGACTTGGGACTTCTACTGACATGATACGCCAGGTATAAATATGCTTTTAATATTTGGGAAAGTATTTTTTTCTAGTCTTCCCAACAATGTTCCAATATACACACCAATGAAATTTAACAATGATGACTTTTTGGGTGGAAATTGGATGCGGACACTTTCAAGTTTTAGTCCAGATCAAAAGTATAAATATGATACTGTTTCGACTTAATCCTTTCCAGAAACATGCACTATAGTCAAGTTCATACTCTTTCTCATTCTTTCAGATTCCCAATGCTCCACCTGCTTATGAGAAAGTATTTGCAGAACAGTCACCACCACCTTATTCACCGTGAGAGCCAACAAGGCCTCTGAGAATGCTGAAACGATTTCCTTCACATTGTTGCTTGAATTTAATATGGGTTTCTAATCATGTGCTTCAGAATGCTGTAGAAATACTATATATTATCTCTAGTAATAAATCTACTGTTAAGGTCTTAGCAGAGCAACTGAAAATGCTAATCAAGTAAGGAATGATGAGAAATAGTCAAAAAAAATCAATAAATGCTGCAATACATGATAGTATCTGTGCATATAGAAATATTAATAAACCTATGATGTTATTTTCCTCCCCTATCACCACCACCATCTCTTATATTCCCTTGTCCCTTTTTCTCTCTCTCCCTCTTAACCACAGAGCCCTCATTATGGATTGATATCCATTTTTTGGGAAAATACTATACATTATCAAATTGTTATATAAATCTGTAGTGTTTATCATTCTGACTTGCTTTATTACACATTATTCTTTCAAACTCTCTCCATTTTGTTGTAAATGGCTGCATTTCATCCCCTCTTAAAGTCAAAGATTACTCCATAGTGTGGATGGATTATATCTTTTTGATCCAATAATCCATCAGTGGACCTTTAGGCTGTTTGTAAGTTCTAACTATTGATATTATAAAGCTGCTATGAAAATGATATAACATGGGGGCCTCCCCGGTGGCACAGCGGTTGAGCTCTGGGCTACCCGCAGCCTCTGCAGTGCCGGTTCCATCCCCGGCCACCGGCGAGGGTCCAACATGACGCAACAGACCTCTTCTGCTGTGCCCACTGCTCCCCTCAGCAGTGTACTTCATCAGTCTGCCTGTTCTGTTCCCTGCTCTGGATCTAGTGAATCCTCTCACCCATCCGCGCTTCTGACTGTACTCAGTGCTTGTAAAAATAAATAAATCTTAAAAAAAAAATTATATAATCTTTGTGTGTGTGTGTGTGTGTGTGTGTGTGTGTGTGTGTGTGTGTGTGTCAGTGGTTTCATATTCTTTGGATTTATGCCCAAGAGTGGGATTGCTGGATCACATGGTATTTCCATTTTTAGTTTTTCAAGGAAATCCAGATTACTTTCCATAATCATTGCACCAGTTAACTTTTCCAATAGTGTAATAGGCATCCTCTCCAGCAGTTAGTTTTGGAGGTCTCTTTAGTATGTGCCATTCTCAGGCACATACTAAATGAGATGGCACCTCATTGTAGTTTTACCCTGCATCTTCTTATTGGAAGTGATGGACATTTTTTCATATGTCTGTTGGCCCCGTGGATATTCTCTTTGGTGATTGTCTGTTCATACCTGCGGCTCATTTGTTTTCTATTGTTAAATTGTGTGAGTTTTCTATCTTGAATAGTAACCCCTTATCATTTGTATTGTGAGAGATATTTCTCCATTCAATAGTGTCCTTTTAAACCTCTTGTATGTTCTTTCACTGTATAAAAGCTTTCAGACTTGAGGTAATTCCAATAGTTTTGTTTTCATTTCCCTTGCTGTAGGAGTCAAGAAACCAAAAACATCTCTTTATTTTTGTGTATTTTCATTCTTTTATGTGGCTTTCCAATTTTCCCAGCTCCATTTTTAAAGAGATTACTCTTTCTCCATCTTATGGTCATAGCTGCTTTACCATAGATTGTGAACTGATGTGTATGTGGATTTATTTCTGGGTTTTTGATTCTATTCCTTTGATCCAAGTATCTATTTTTGTGCCAATTCCATATGGTTTTAGTACTGTAGCTTCTCAGCTGAGTTCGAAATTGGGTAATATAATGCCTCTATTTCTCTCCTTTTGTTTAATGGTTGCTTTTACAATTTGAGGTCTTTTGTAGTTCTATATAAATTTCAGTATTTTTTCCTTTGAAAATATTGCTGGTATTTTAATGGTGCTTGCATTAAATTTATGTATTATTTTAGGCAGGGTAGCCATTTTGATTTTATTGATTCTCCCCAACTATGAGGTTGGGGAGGTCCCAAATCCTTATGTTGTTACAGAAGTCCTTTCACAGTATCTTATAGTTCTCATTGTATATAGGTCTTTTACCTCCTTCTTTAGGTAAATTCTGAGGGATTTAATTCTTTCTGAAGCAACTATAAATGGAGTTCCTTGTACATAAAAGAGCTATGGATTTTTGTATGTTGATTCTTTTTAACTGCCACTCTGCTGTATTTATTTTTTTCTAATAATTTTTTATGAAGTCTTTAGGCTTTTCTATATATAATATCATCTGTGAAGAATAATAGTTCTATTTCTTTTCCTACTTAGAGTCCTGTTATTTCTTGTTTCTGTCTCATAGCTCTGACCAAAAACCTCTAATACTAAGTTAAATAGAAGTGATGACGATGAGCATCCTTGTCTTGTTCCTAATTTTAAGGGGAAAGCTTTCTGTTTTCACCATTGAATATATATTGGCTGTTGGTTTGTGATATATGGTATTTATTATATTGAAGTAGGTTCATTTGATTCCCATCTTGTTTAAAGTTTTTATCATAAATAGGTGCTGAGTCTTATCAAGTGCTTTCTCTGCATCAATTGATATTTTATCTTTACTGTGGCTGATATATTACATTGATTTATGTATACTAAACCACTGTTGCATCCCTGGGATAATTTCCACTTGATCATGGTGTATAATCATTGTGGTAAAAAGTTGAATTCAATTTGCTAGAGTTTAGCTGATCTGTTTCTTCCTGGTTGGTCTTGGTAGATTGTATTGATTTAGGAATTTGTGCATTTCTTCAGGATTATTGAATTTGTTGCCATAGAATCTGTTATAATCCTTTGTATTTCTGTTATCTGTGGTGATTTCTCCTCTTTCATTTGTGATTGTTTATTAGTGTTTTTGCTCTTCTTTTCTTTGTTAGCCTGGAGGTTTGTGTATTTTTTTTTTTGTCTCAAAGACTCAACTCTTAGTTTCACTGACATTTTTGTAGTCTTTTTGATCTCTATTTCATTTATTTCTATTCTTATTTTTACTATTTCCTTCCTTTACTGAATTTGAGCCTTGTTTCTCTTTTTCAAGTTGTTTTATGTATAGTATTAGATTGTGATTTTTATTGCCGATTAATGTGGATCTGTATTGCAATTGTCTTCCACATTAAGACTACTTTTGTTGCATTCCATAGATCTAAGTAACTTGCATCATCATTTTTGTTCATCTTGAGGCATTAAAATTTTTTTCTGCTTTAATTTCTTCTCCTGTTCAGTGACTGTTAAGCAGCAAATATTGTTCAGTCTCCATATATTCAAGTTTTTCCTTATAGTGGATTTCTAACTTTATGGCATTATAATTATACCTAGAGTACTAGGTATAATTTCAATCTGAAGTTTTATCAACAGTTGACTGGTATCCTAACACATGGTCTATTCTTGAAAATATTCCATGTGCACTTGGAAAAAAATGTGCAAGCAGTGATTTTTGGGTGAACTGTAGATAACTGTTAAACCTACTTGGCCTAGTTCTTCATTTAAGGCTATTATTTCCTTTTTATATTCTTTGTCTTGTTGATCTGTCCATTGTAAGCAGGGTATTGAAATTTCCCAGTAGTATTATATTGTCAATATTTCCCTTTAGTTCTGTTATTGCCTTACATATCTTGTTTTTTTTTTTTTCCCTTTGGTAAATATGAGTATCATTTCTTGTTATATTAGGCTTTTAATCATAATATTATGTCTGTCTCTATTTCTTATGTTTTTATTTTTTGTTTTTTAAAGATTTATTTATTTATGTATACAAGAGCTGGGGTGTAGGCCAGAGGTCGGGGGTGGGTGAGAGGACTCACCAGAGACAGAGCGGGGAGCAGAACAGGCAGATCTACTGAAATACACTGCTGAGGGGAGGCGAGGGGAGAGGAGAGGTCTGCTGTGTCACGTGGGCCAGTTCCCTGGCTGGGGAGCCGCCCATATCTTCATAGTGCTGAGACGTAACCCTTTGTGCTACCTGGGAGGCCCTATTTCTTACCTTTTTAAATTAGAAAACTATTTTATCTCATATAAGTATAACAGTTTCTTGTTTTTTATTTTTTGATTGTCATTTTCTTGAATAACTGTCTTCTAGCGTTTAGCTTTGTCTGTGCTTGTATTTGTTAACAAGCTGGGTATCTTGTAAATATTGAATAGCAGAAGGTTTGCCTTTGTTTTGAAATCCATTTACCTACTACATCTTTTGAATGGTGAGTTCAGATCATTTACATTTAAGGTGACTATTTAGATGTAAGTGCACATTGCCATTTTGTTATGTCTGTTTGCTTTTTATTTTTTGAGGTCTTCCTTTTATGTTTTATAGTTTACATTTCTATTGTCTTATGTGTTACTTCTTTAAATTTTTGAGAACAGTGCTGATGTTAGCATATGATGGAATATATGTGTGGCCTGTGTATGGTCTGATCTCTGATTTGCTCTCATGGGTGACCTTTTAATCCTTCTCTTCTTCCTCCATGTTAAATGATTTAGGGCTTTTTAAAGATTTAATTTTATTTATTTATGCATACAAGAACTGGGGTGTAGGCCAGACATGTAAGGAGTAGTGTGGGTGAGAGGATTCATCAGCGACAGAGTGGGGAGCAGGACAGGCATATCTACTGAAATACACTGTTATGGGGAGGAACAGATGAGACAGGTCTGCTGGGTCATATGTGGGCAAGCTTCCTGGCCAGAGATGGAATCTAGGCCTCAGCAGTGATAGTGTGGAGACTCAATCCCTATGCCACCAGGGAGGCGATTTAGGGCCCTTTGCCTCTATATTAATTGTTCTCTTACTTTATAATAAACCCTTTAAGGTTCCCTTTATGTGCAGCTTGGTGTTGATAAATTTTTAGTTTTTGATTAACCTTCCTTCTGATTTGAATTTTAATCTTGCAGGGTAAAGGATTCTGGGCTGGAAGACTTTTTCTTTAAGTACTTTAAATATCTCCTGCCAATCCCTTTGTGCTTATCATGTTTCTACTTAAAAGTTTGACAGTTTGGTGAGTTTCATGTAGGTTGCTCTTTTTTCTCTTGATATTTTTGGTATTCTGCCCATGACTTTGGCTTTCAACAGCTTTATTATGACTGTCTTAGTGCATATGTGTACATATTATTTTGTTTGAAATTTCTGGGTTTCTCGTTAGTTTCAAAACTGAGATGGTTTTCAGTAATTACTTCTTTAAATTTTCTATTCCCTTTCTCTTTTCCTTCTGGGACCTCCAAGATATGAACATTGTTATCCCAAAAGGCACTATTTTCATTTTTAAAAATTCTTTCTGTTTTACATTATGCTTTTGAGCTCATTGAGTTTCTCCATTGTTTTTTTCTATAGTTTTTGGTCCTTGATTGTAATTTATTTTGGTGATGTTACTTAGCTCTGTTATTTCTAATTGTTTCCTGCCTCATATTTTTTTTTCC